AGTAATGCACTTGTTACTAGTAGCGATGCACTTGTTAAGAGTAGCTTATTGTTACTAGTAGTAGTGCACTTGTTACTAGTAGCGATGCACTTGTTGCTAGTAGTTTCTTGTTACTAGTAGTAATGCACTTGTTATTAGTAGCGACGCACTTGTTACTAGTAGCGATGCACGTGTTACTAGTAGTTTCTTGTTGCTAGTAGTAATGCACTTGGTACTATGCACTTGTTGCTAGTAGTTTCTTGTTACTAGTAGTAATGCACGTGTTACTAGTAGCAATGCACTTGCTATTAGTACCTACAGTAACTGTTTATAGCCAAATCGAGCCGGCCTTTGAATCATTCTGAATCCACCCACCAGAAGCTGGAAGTGGCCACAGCTCAGCTGAGCGGAGGTGAGTTCTGTATCGTCGATTCAACACACGTCTCGATTCATGGAAAACTGCACTTGGACCCTTCTGATCTTTCTTGGACCCTTGGATTCCAAAGGAATGCAAGGGTCAAAAGGCATTTGCAAAAGAATAGCACGGTTTGTAATCCTCTGCTCCATTCTGCTCATCTCGTTTTTGGTATAAAGGTCCCATCCTGCAATCACACAAAATGTATATCAATGCTTTGGGGCCTCAGCTTCCATTGAGCAGAACTGGATTTACATTGACATACAGAACACAAAAAGGGTCTTTGTTGCATGGCTGGAAGCAGGTGCTGGTCTACCTCATGGTCACAGTAGCAAAGGGTTATATAATTATGTGGAGTTTCCTAGAATTCTCTGGAGCCTACTAAGTTTTGTCTCGACCCTTTTAAACCACCTGAAACCACTGGCAGAACGACGTCCACTCCACGCCAGATCATCCCAGTCCACTTCTCCTCCCAACCGAGATCTTTGTCAGTCCCATCCATGGCGCCAAACCCGCTGCGTGTGATGCGTGTGATGCAGAGCTGTCAGATGTGCTGAGCTGTTAGATGTTGGAAGTGATTTCGGCTTGAATGACCAGTCTGGTGGGTCATTGAGATTCACGACTCTGACAATGTCATGCCGCATGATTCTGTCAATGTCAAGTCGCTTTTCGCTGCGGCGCGAAAAGCGAAGCGGCGCAGTCCATGAGTCCTTGCACAATGCTTGTCTATGACTCCATGTTCTCTGACATTGAATCCATGTAGTTTTTGGTCTCTCTCTGTCAATGCGGCACACAGTCCATGCGGATGGTGCATTCGGCTCCTGACGCGTCTGGGACAGAACATGCCAGGGTGCCATGTGAAGACCACTGCAACGCGAGCGGGGCAAACCTTGTCGAACCTGTGCTATGTTGGCACCCACGTCGCACAGAACCGGGCAAGGTGCAACTCAAGGCCATCAACACGAGATATGGAAAAAAAACACTTGATCTATCACAAACTGCCGAGCCAGCTCAAAACCACTTGTGCTCAAACTTACCTTGCCCAGTATTCTGCAGCTCTTGCTAGCGTTTTCAAGAAGTAAGTAGGTTGGAAACCTTGGCCACATCACCATCATTGGCAATCAGCAAGTCTCTGATCACCTCCCATGGCAGGCAAATCTGTTCTGGTCTGTTTGGCAGACTGGCACCAGAACCATGGATGCCCTCTCCCCACCCCACTGGCAGTCTATCTACTTGCAGTCACTGTACGCAGCTCACCTCTTCGCTGGCGAGTTGGAGCTCCAACAATTGGAGCACCTTGGCCTCCAGCCTCGGTCGGTCGGACCAACCGCCTCCGCTTCTTCCGTCGTAGTTTTCCGCGGAGTCCGCTGACGCAACGGTGCACGAGTCGGCGAGTTTCACTCTTTGAAACCAACGAGTCCGTTGAAACCAATGAGGGAACCGGAGGCAACATCTAAGGGTTGTGTAAGAGATGTGGGTCACCAGGATCACTTGATTGATTGACTGCTTGGTTCCCTCGCGGCCAGAGGTCGTTGACCCATCCCCACATGTAGAGACATCTAGCCCGCTGAACATCTGGGGTCGCTGACTCATCCTCGGACATGGCTGCCGTGGCTGCTGGCGGCTCCACATGATTCTGCCCGTGCTCTCCACGGTTGCCTTTGCACTTGCCCTGGCATGCCCATTGGTTAAAATCCTGCAACCAAAGGAAAGCACGACTACAGAGTACTACAGAGCTACATGTACTTGTCACGAATGGCAAATTGGACGATTGGGTCAAACGGGCTGAGAAATTGAGATCTGGTCCTTTGCGAACCAAAAGGCTATTTGGCCAAACGCTCAATCAAAAGAGCAAGGGCACATGTACCATAAAGAATATGCCATGGCACAGCAAAAACCCTTACAGATCGGCGTTAAAATGACGGGTGAAGCGTCAGACCTCACATTTTATAGGTATAAATCTGGGGGTGCAGCAAGAATTCTTACAAAATACCAAGGCGCAGCAAAAAATCCCAGGAATACAAATGACAGGGCCAACATGCATTTTTGGGGTCCGCTAAGCCCCATCAACCTATAGAAAATGTTGGGTCAAACATTGAAAGTGCTGTGCCCTTCGTTGTTGTAAGAAAGTAAGGTGACTCATTTTGTAAGGAAGCTGACCTCATTTTGTAAGGCAGCTCTTTTTTCTGCAGCAGCTTAATCCAAGCCCCTGTTCAGTGCTAGCAGCTGTTTGGTGCTACCACTTTTTTACTGGGATCCCTATGTTTCAAAAAAAGCGCCTTCTCTTTTCGAGCTTACCTCGTCCATCCTGAGTCCATCCTTAGGCACAATACCTTAGG